ATTGACATTTTGATATTCATATGTTAATTTGGATAAAAATTAATGATTGATTGAATTAATTGATGTGTAGATTAATGGAACGATTCTTTAAAATAAACTTATCTACAGATAGTCCTTCTCCATCTAATCCGGGAAGTTTAAATGCAAGACCAATTGAAGTAGATGAGATATTGGCTAATTTTTAGGCAGACCCTGGACTAAGAACTCGAATGACAAATTATAGTTCTAATATTCGAGATGAGATCTGAAGAGTATATCTACAAAAAGGACCTTGTCAACCTAGAAGTCATAGATTTCCACAAACTAATCAATCAAGAATTAATAAACGCTTCATTACCCAATGGTTTGATGAGTTTGATTGGTTGGAATATAGTATAGCTAAAGATGTTGCGTTTTATTTTCATTGTTATATCTTTAAACCTAATTTTGATCAAGTAGGTGGTGATGCGTTTACTAGGGTAGGGTTTAATAATTGGAATAGAAAGTTTTAACCTTCATGTTGGACAGATTGATAGTGTTCACAACCAAGCTAGAGAAGTTGCTTACAATTTGATGCATCAAACTACACACATTAAAACAATAATTGTGATCAAGCAAACAAACCAAGCTTGCATGACTTAACGCACTTGCTTGAATGCATCACTCCAGTGTACTAGGTATTTGTTGTGACAAGGTCTTTCTTTTTGTGGTCATGATGAAAGTGCCATTTCAAGTAATAAGGGGAATTATTTAAAGGTCTTGCAATTTCTTGCGGATCATGATGAAAAAGTTAAGCCCGTTGTGTTGGAAAATATTCCAAGCAATCTAAAGTTAATAGCTCATTCAATTCAAAAAGGTCTTGTCAATTCTTGTGCCAAAGAAACCATTGGTCTTATCTTGAGTGATGTAAAATATAGATATTTTTCAATAATGGTAGATGAAACACATGATGTTTCAATAAGGGAGCAAATGACAATGGTGTTGTGTTATGTGAACAATAAAAGATAAATAATTGAAAGGTTTGTGGGGGTCCAACATGTAACAGACACCACTTCAAGTGCACTAAAGGAAGCCATTGATGAATTCTTTTCTTCCGAAAAATTTGAACTTTTTCAAGCTACGAGGATAAGGTTATGATGGAGCTATTAATATGATAATGAGTTCAATTGCCTTAAAACAAAGATTTTGAGAGAATCTTGTGCATTTTATATTCATTGCTTTGCTCATGGCCGTAGCAAAGAAAAACATTGATGTCAACTCTTTTTTCACAAAGGCTAATAGTTTGGTTAATGTTGTTAGAGCATCTTGTAAGCGCCGCGATGCACTTAGAGCATAATACCAAGAAGAGCTTGTGAAAGTTTTTGAAAATGATTGTCTTATAACGAGGCGATGCTTAAATCAAGAAACTACTCTCAAACGTGCCGGCGATACACAATGGAACTCACATTGTGGAAACTTGATTAGTATCATTTCTATGTTCCCATCTGTGGTGAATGTGCTTCAAATGATTGTTGATGATAATCCTAATGATAGTTCAGGTGAAGCCTATAAGTTATGAAGAGAAATACAATCTTTTGAGTTTGTGTTTTACTTACTTTTAATGAAAGTTATATTGGGAATAACAAATACTTTGTCTCTAGCATTGCAAAAGAAAGATCAAGACATTGTGAGTGCAATGAGTTTAGTAAAAACATGCAAGGAAAACCTACAGTTAAGGAGGGATAATGAGTTTGAAGAATTGGTTGAGTAAGCATCTTCGTTTTGTGACAAACACGATATTACGATTCCTACCATAGATGAGGAATATGTAATTCCAGGAAGATCACGACGTAATGCTCCAATGAAGACAAATTATCATCGTTATCGTGTGGAGATCTTTATTCATGTAATTGATGGGTAATTTACGGAATTAAATGATCGCTTTAACGAGGTAAGTACTGAGTCACTTACTTGTTTGGCATGCTTGAGTCCGAAAAATGAATTTGTAGCTTTTGACAAACGAAAGCTATAGTTTGTTTTGCTCAATTTTATCCTTAAGATTTTTTGGATCAAGACTTATTAATGCTTGAAGATCAACTCGGTTTTTATGTTCATCTTATCCATTCGAGTAGTGATTTTTCTCAGTTGGAAGGGATTAGTAGTCTTGCGGAAAAAATTATGGAGAAAGGAACGCATGAAATATTTCTTTATGTGTATTTGCTTTTTACATTGGATTTGATTTTACTGTTGCAATTGCTTCAATGGAGAGAGCATTTTTCTCCATGTATATTATTAAAAATCAAGTTTGTAACATAATGGGAGATCAATCGTTGAATGATAGCTTGATTGTTTACATTGAGAGAGATTTTTTTGCTTGTATTGATAATGAAACTATAATTAATGCAACGTTTTCAAAAGATGAAAACTCGTCGTGGACAATTGTAACTTGTATTATTGATTTTGTCATGAATTATGAATCGAAATACTATCTTTCTATTTCTTTAGTATTATTTTTTTCGTAAAAAAATTTAGTAACTTTTTACACTGACTCTTTGACCACATAATCTTGAATCCGTCGGCCATGACAAAGCCAAATGAATGTTCGAGATGTATAGAAACTTACGGACCTATTAGCCTCTCTATGCTCCATATTGTTAATATCCCTCTTATTCGAATCTTGTCAATCTTTCAAGTGGTTTGCTGTATTCAAAGCCAAATACCAATAGAATTAAGTTTTTCAGCAAGAAAGAATATAATTGGTGCTAAGGAAGAATGGCAAGGGCATATATAAAATTGCAAACCCTATCTGACTGATATAATATTATTATGGTACGTAAATGTATACAAAGTTAATTATAATAAAGTACGTACTACGTGATGAGACACTTTTTAAAGAGATCCCGTGAATCGTACGTAATATAAAAAATATTTGTGGCTCTTTTAGATTATTAAAATATTTGAGCTCGTTGGTAATTGCCGATTGGGGTTGGCAGTTTGCTTTAAAATAAGAACAATGCCCCTGCCATTACAGTGTTGGTGCATTCTGCATGGCTTCAGCGATTGCTTGGGTGGTCAAAGTGGAGGAGCCAACAAAAGGGCACTAACATATGTCCAATTGGACAACTTGCAAAATTGAAGCGACAGTCACCGTCAAACTCATGTAAATCCAAGTAGAGTGGTTATTGACAAGCCTCCATCAATTTAATCCTTGTTTACATAATATGCAAAGGTCATTCACTTGTCATCACCATGCTCTCCTCAGGCTCAGGCTTTAGTTTTAGACATATGAATTATGAAGTGATCATATATTTTTTTATCCGTGGTTTTTCTATGTTGTAGAGAAAGACAGAAGAGAAGAGGGAAGAAGACAGTGGCCACATGAAGAGAAGAGGGAAGAAGACGTTGGTCAGACGAAGAGAAAGAAAAGAAAGTTAGTGTTAAGAACTCATGGTAGAATTTGCCCCTAAGAAAGTTAGTGTTAAGAACTCATGGGTAGAACTCTAGGATATGCTATTTTTTCAATATGGGAGCTTGAGTCCTAACATTCCACCACACTTCTGTACCCAACGTCCTCGTTGGCCCACTCTATCGATACTAATTAACCAGGTTGTAGCCCTTTCTTCCTTTGGGGCGTTTTCACTCAACTATCAATATTCAATGACTCAATATCATGCCCATACATGACACCGATCATCTTAATTCAGCCAATATGTCACCCCTTTTTCATGGAATTGGACCCAGTTTTGTGGTAAAACTATGCTCTGATACTAAATGTTGAGAACTCATGGGTAGAACTTGCCCTTAAAAACCGGCTTGTAAGGAAAAGGTGCCCATAAGCCCTTAAACCACTCTAGGATATGCTATTTTTTCAATGTGGGATCTTTGAATCCTAATAGTTAGGGCCCGTTTAGTTCAAGATTTAAGAGTTTGAGAATGAGTTTCAAAAACTCATGTTATTTTTAAATATCACTTTTGACCCTTAAAAAACTCTTCATATTAATAATAAAAAATCAAAAGTATAGTTGAAAAACTAAACAACTTTTTATTCCTAATATTACACTAACCAAATACCGAGAGTGACATTTCCTAGTCTCATTTCCCCAAAAGAAAAAGAATACATCCTTCATTCCCATTCTGTAAGGTGGATTGATTCAATGTGGGGAGGAGTATGGTCTCTCCTTAAGCCTAATTAATAGGACAGAGACGCGAGGAACATAAAGCGGTATTGAAATGACCACATATTATGGGCAACTTTATCCACCTTCATTTCCTCTCTATCCTCTCTCGTCATTAGAGCAGTTCTTGTCAATGGACTAATTGCGGAAGCAATAACAAATAACTAAAATAAATTGGTATTAGTAAGTGGGGTATATACCCGATGAATATTTGTGAACTCTCTTTTTCCAATCGCTTGTACTAAAATAAAGTATTATTAAAATTACCACACTATGTTTATTATAAGCATAAAGTTAAAAAAGATCAAATAAAAAAAACCTCATTAATAAGTTCTTGGAGTTAATCGAAGTGGTGAGAGAGAGTGAGATGACGAGTTAATATATAGTAAAATGCCTAAAGTTATTTCTCTCCTATGTAATAATAATATTATATTTATTTATTTTTTTATTTTAAAAAAAGCCTCATAAATACCAAATCGATAATACGTAACCAAGTCCACTTGAGTTTTAAAAACTATTTTCCGATTTAGTTAATTTCATTTTAAGACTGGGTTGCAGTTAGTGGGTGCATATAAATATGGTTCTCGAGTCCTAAACTTTAAGTATGCTTGGCTCCTGTGTGTGCATATATATATTGATCTTCAGTAGCATATGGCATATAGGCATGCACAATATGACTTTGAAATCAGCCCCACACCATATCATGTGAAAGTGCAACAAATCAAAGATAATGAGCGCATTTTTAATTAGTCATCATCTTCAATTTGGCCATCCACAGGGAAACCTCACACTTACTAGAACAGTTCCTGATGCTCCACTACATAAACCCCACACCACTGCGAATATGACCAGGCCATTTCTCTCCACTACATAAACCCCACACCACTGCGAATATGACCAGGCCATTTCTCTCCAAGTAAAGACAGATGAAGAACTTTGCTGTTCTTGGTCATAGACTAGAGATGCTTTCTAGCTATTCATGCAACAAACTGCCTTGCTTCTCCCAATCTTTTAAAGCTCAAATTCGATCAATTTTTCGTGTCTTGCTCTTTCAGGCCAACCCTTTCTATGTCCAGCTTGTTTATTTTGTCATGCTCTCTCTGTTGGGTTATTTGGCTTTGATGTTCACAAAGCCAAGAACTACTAGGCCCAAGGACGTTGATGTGTTCTTCACATCTGTGTCTGCCACAACAGTCTCAAGCATGTCAGTAGTGGAAATGGAGGTCTTTTCAAACACCCATCTCATTATTTTGACCATTTTGATGTTATTGGGTGGGGAGGTTTTCACTTCCATGCTTGGACTTCAATTTACAAGGTCCAAAATTATTCCCAAGTTTCATGATCATCATACAGACGGCAGAATTGATGTAGTCAATACCAAAAACCATTTCCCAGACTCTAATGCCGATCAAATTGAGTTGGGTTTGGCTACTCATTCACATTTAGAGAATGAGAAACCGCAAATTATTGATCACATAGATGGTATGAACAACAACAACAACAATAAGTATAATTCTATTAGGTTTTTGGGTTATGTAGTTTTGGGCTATCTTTTAGTGGTTCATATAGGTGGCTCTATTTTAGTTTCCTTGTACTTCACCCTTGTCCCAAGTGCAAGACATGTACTTGAAAAAAAAGGCATTGAAATCCCCACATTTGCTGTTTTCACCACGGTTTCCACCTTTTCAAATTGCGGTTTTGTCCCGACAAACGAAAATATGATAGTTTTCAAGAACAACTCAGGTCTTTTGCTTCTTCTTCTTCCTCAACTCCTTCTTGGCAACACTTTATATCCAGTATGCCTAAGATTTCTGATCTGGGTTTTGGAGAAAATTACCAAGAGGGTGGAATTTAGTTACATGTTGAAGAATTATAAAGACATGGGCTACAGCCATATGCTATCTAGTCTTCGTTCTTTTCTTCTGGCCCTTACTGTCTTGGGCTTCATAGTAGTTCAGGTTATACTATTTTGTGCCATGGAGTGGAAATCTGAAGCCATGGATGGTCTGACTGCCTATCAGAAATTTGTGGCCTCAATCTTTCAGACCATGAATTCGAGACATGCCGGTGAATCCGTTATTGATCTCTCTGTTATCTCCCCTGCAATCTTAGTGCTCTTTGTGGTGATGATGTGAGTCTTTGTCTCTGTCTCCGTCTCTTAAATCTACTAGCATTCATTAAATTCTTTATAAAATTTTGTTCATCAAGTGAGGTTATTTTCTCAATAATTTTTTCTCGATATTATCAAATTTGGACTATTAACGAAATTTCCACAATATGTTAAGATTGATGAAAGAGAAAAAGATAGCGACACACTCACAAATAATTTAGTGAGTAAATTTGATGACCGTAGCATTATTGTTTATGATCATTTGTATGAGTATGGAATATTAATTTCCTTTACATTTACTAACTTTTAATTACTCTCATCATATTTGAGAGTGCATGGACAAGTGTGAAAATCTATTTTTTGAGTGCAAATACTATTTTCCTTTGATTATTGAAGGTCAACTAATAATTTCGAAGTTAAAATACTATTTTCTTTTGATTATTTAAAAATAATCTCGTATAAAATATTTAGCATGCATGTTATGTTGCAAGATATACATATATATTTCGCATAATCAATGATTTTGATTCATTTCCATTAAATCAATGTCACTATCCTAGTGATTAAACCCACACATGCTCAAATGATGCCTTGTGATTTAATTTCATCTTCTCTTCTCTCCGGCCGTATATCATTTTCGTATTTGCTCTCATCAATTCCTATAACTAAATCCATCTTTGTCACTGCGCAAACCTATTTCTTCCCAGAAAATTGGACTACTTTTGAATATGAGTGTATGCACTTTCCTTGCTAGAATCTCTTCTCTTATATATATATATATATATATATATATTTCTAGAATAAATTGGAAAAAAAGAAGAAGAATTTCTCTCTTATTCTCATTACCAGAGAGTCCATGACTTCATGGTCATATATCCTAAATCTTCGACTTATTGTTTGCACTGTACCCTAATCTCTTTATTATACTGAGTGGCTATATTCTTGCCAAAAGAAAGCATGCATGACTTTTCACTGCATGAAAGTGTCTCTTCGATGAGATTTTGCATTTGTTATTTGACCCCACCCTTTTGGTGTTCATGCCAGTTGGGGTTCCTTATTCTTGTAAGTATAAAAGGAATAAAGTCAATCAAATATGGAGCTGATGCTCTTATACACAACAAATTTAGGCAATTTGCCGAACCTGATCCATATACCCTTATTTCCAACTTTAAGTATATATTGTAAGGGCTTGTAGCTGAAGCGGTTAAGAGCATTGAGGTCTTAGGTTCGATTCCCCTTTCCTTGATCAATATCGATTATATATAAAATTAAAAAAAGAACTTTAAGTACATATTTTCTGGAAGAAGTATATATAAAAAAAGATAAATAAATTGCATATTGTGGTTGTGAATTTTAATAATTTCTTTTATACAACTCAGGTATCTTCCACCATATACTACATTTCTTCCAACAACTAGCGATTGCGAAGACTCTGCCTCAGCAAAGGGCATTCCAAACCCAAGAAAGACTTTGGTGGAGTCTCTAGTATTTTCACAACTGTCTTATTTAGCAATGTTTATCATTCTCATTTGCATCACAGAGAGGGAAAAGATGAAGGAAGACCCCCTCAACTTTAGTGTTCTTAACGTCATTATAGAAGTAATTAGGTAAGTATATACGTAATTACATGCTTTGTTAATTGTGTTCAACTTATGTTTTACTATATTTAGTTCTATGCCTTCAGCAAGAACACTAGTGTTTTCACCTAGGGGCCTTAGAAACTCACAGACGGCCCTGGCGGTAGGAAACACTAATGCTCCGATTGGATGGAGTGATTATAAATCTAAGGATTTAGATGACATTACAAGGTTAAGTTGTAAGATTACACATTGCTACAATCCATGCCAAGATTTTAAAAGCAAATGAAGAAAACAATGGATTTCAACTGACTCATTGCATATAGTCATCTCAAATCTATTACAAATGTACTAGTCTGATGTTTTCTAGATTTATATCAAGTTTAATTAGCCTTGTTTTCAAATACAAATCGTTTCTTTCAAATACCGCTGTCCAAATGGAGCCCAATGTAATTAACAAAAACTGCGTTTGATTTGTAGTGCATATGGGAATGTTGGGTTCTCAACTGGCTACAGCTGCAAGCGTCGACTGAAACATGAAGGTGATTGCAAAGACGCATGGTCTGGATTTTCCGGAAGGTGGAGTACCCAAGGAAAGTTTATACTCATCACTGTCATGTTCTTTGGGAGGCTAAAGAATTTCAGTACTAAACATGGCAAAGCTTGGAAGCTATCTTGATTCTAAATTAACTGATCGATTAGGTTTAATTTCATACATAACATCTTGTACATATGTCTGCAAGCGAGTTGCATGTAGTTGTTAGATTCCTGCAAATTAGCATATCAATGGTGTGTTCCAAATGGATGTAATGAGAGCTCTTCCCAATTACATATAATGTACAGTAGAGTGTTTGGAGACAAGTACGATCTTCTTGGGCTTCTTTAAGAGCTTCAATCATTAATGTTGTGGTATTAAACTAATTGGGCTGATTGAGCTTTACTATCTAAAAGTGGATATATACTTTTGACTTAAAAAACAACCTACATCAAATATGTTTTTATTTCATTTTTATACAAGTTATTTTTGGACAACAGAAGCTTGAACATATATGACCTTGGGTGTAAGGATAAGTGCTCTTAACTACCTCACCTACAAACCCCACAATATATCAAATATGAAGTTTATAAACGATCTTCAGTCCTCTCGTTATCTTAGATCGAGGTCCAAAACGATTAGTTGTCATAGGGTAAATTCACACTTTTTTTCGTTTTAGATGCATGTTTTTTGACTTTTTGACTTTTTTGTTGTTGCGTCGATTGTACCTTTTGAAATAAATAAAGAAAACACGTTGAAAATCCAAACTTAATACATTATTTCCTTATAATTGAGTTTCAGAATTTAACTTTTGAATTCTTTTTTGAAGAATATTTACCTAATATATTATTGATAAAATACAATATAATCATAATAAAAGCAAAGACCCACAAATTAAATGCGATGGCTGATTATGATGGCAATGACATGTGGCTCTACTAGATAATGTAGTGCCAAACCGACAAGTCAATGCAAAAAGAGACCTAGTAGCCGACCACCAATGATACGAGGATGAAGTGGTGATTATCAATAAAGTAATGTTATGGAGACTATATTCTTTGCAACACATACTAGCTATATTTTCTTTATTTTACCTTATATAATAAATGATTATTGTTGTAAAACTAAGGGAATTGAGAGAGGATTTAAGAAAGTACGAATATGGAGAAAGCCATAGAAATGTTCTCTAGACCGGTTCTTATTCTTCTATTATTACTTCATATGCCTATCTATAGACATAATAGTTCCTTATAATATTACAATGGTAAGTTGATACATACATCATTGATGAGTCATATAGCACCAATAGTTAGGTATGGTGGGCATCCATTATTTGTATATATTTATAACAATTATCTCTTTTAGCATATTAATTAATCAAAGGCATTTTATGAGATTTTTGAAAATGAAATCAATCGTTTTAAGAGCTAAATCATCAACTTCAACCAAACCACCGTTCTAATTGGTACACTTGGCATATTATGCGTGTTATGAAATAGATCATTGCTAAATTTTATTCAACCCCGTTATTGTTTCTAACTTAACAATTCGAATCCAACGCATGTTGAAAAACATTTTGTTACTTTCAGTATTGAGCCACCTACATTTAGATTGTTGTGGATCATTTTCTATACTCATCCATGACTTGAATTGATACATACAACCCTTACAATCTCCACATTCGCGATATCTAAGTCAAGCTAGCCATCCATTACACTTTCAAGCATTATGTGTGTGACATGGTCCCTTACAACTCCACATTGGACAGGAGTTACTTGAGTCCACTAAATCCGATCTAACACTATGGGTTATAATGGGTTGTATGGGTGGCCAAGGCTACGTCATGCCTGGCCGCATGATTACTATAATCGCATACTAATTAGCCAATTTTCCTAAATGAAAATTAATCTACGTAAACAATAATACTAAAAACACCAACTTATCATACAACTTTTAAATACCAATCGATGAGGCAATTTCTTAATAGTGGACACGGGTTGTACGCGGAGGGGTATCTAAATATTCAACTGTATATGTTGCCACCTTGGTCATTGATCATCAATCAGACTTTTAGAATAAACAATGGCAATCATTTAATTGTCTCTACATGGACTTGACAAACTAAATACCAAAACTCACCAACTTTCTAAGACATTTTCTACTCTAATTCCAATTCAAATATATTCCGTATGTCATGTGGGCAACTATTCTTATGTTCGAATTTTCTATGGCAATTTAGATGTATGCATGTGATGTGGTTTTACAATTATGCGCATTACTTCCTATACTTTTCCACACTCAATATGTATGCACACATTGTGCCATGTTGCCAATTATAGTTTCTTAATTTCCGAGTCATTGTTCCCAGATCCAACACACATTCGTTGTATGTTATAATCGGCATATACATTTATACCATGTTTACTAATCCGTAATCAGATGAGAAGGAATTGAATTGAGGATGATTTGAATTGAGGAGAGTTAGAATCCGAATTCCTATGAAGTTGTTTACTAAATTATATGGAATTGGGGTAGGAGTGGTACTGATTCCTTATAAGCTGTTTACTAAATTACCATGAATCGGAATTGAAATCCAATTTGATTACTAAAATGCTCTTGTTATTGGGTTAAAATAGATGACAAATTTGAAATTTTAAAAATTGTGTGAGGATATAATGGGTAAAAAAGATAGATTTCATATGAGTTAGTTATCCAAGAATTAGAATACCACATTCCACCCAAGAGTTCAATTCCTCCAAAATCAGGAGTTGAATTCCTGATTTTGTGTAGACCCCACTTACATTTTTATTCCTCCATATGAAGTAAACATAGGAGTACTTCGTATAGAAATTCAACTCCATATTTTGATTTCGATTACAGATTAGTACACATGTCATTACAGCATATAAAACTCCACGTTAAAATTTCAAATAAAAATGATATAATATAACATATATAATTATGAGCCTTTTCACTCATTTGCGAAATAATTTCAAGTTTTATGTTTTAAGTTTCACATGATCAATTAATTTGTGTATTGAATTACAAATCAAGAGATACTGTGGATATCATATAAAAAAGCCAAATCACTTTCAAGACGGAAGATATCTCAGAGTGAGGTTGGTCATTCACGCATGCTCTACATACGCCATTCAATAAAAATACTCGGAAAGTGCTTCTTATAAAACCGCTTTCAGTAGTATCGCTTATTATCAAAAGTACTTCTTACAGAAGCATTCTTAAACGGCTTCAAAATTCAAGTATATAATTTCTTATAATTTGCAATGAAAAAAAATATTATTAAGGGATAAGGTGATCGCACTAGGAGTGGGAATAATACCATTTTATATATTAATTACTACCGCAGTCTTCAATTATTAGTTAATGGATAGGATAATTTCTCATCCATAGAATTTTCCCTTACTTTCGCCACATGTACAAACATGATGATGCTCACTAAAAAAAGTCTTAGCTTCAAATCCTAAACCCAAAAAACGAAAATGATACTACCCAAGTACCATTTTGTCGCATCGTGATCTGATCTAGAATGGTTCCTTTAAGATATGAAGTTGAAAATAACTAATTATTGCTGTTGACTTGTATATATATAATGCCGCATGTCATCAGATTAATCTGAATGAAACTGCAGAAATAAATTATTTCAATCACCTCTCTCGATTGAGCATATTGGGTATATAGCATTGCTCTAATATATATATGGAATCTATCCAGCTAGCTCTCACCTTATTTTTGATACAAACGGTATCAGGGAAAGGTGAAGTTAAACTTAGGATCTTGATCGAGTTCAAGAGTAAATACTTTTAATCAATTGAGCTACAATAGTATTCTTTGCGTTGGGTCTCACTTTATACATTAGAGATATGATATACAATAAGATCAGTTAACATATTCCAAAAAATTACGGGCGAAAATTTGTATTAAATGACTCGTGTTGTATTAAAAAGGAAAAATAAACTAAAATTTTCATAGAGGGATCCCGAACCTCTACATTTAAACATTGTACATTTACTCGCATTTCGAGACATCTAAGACATCTAAACCATTCTAATAATCTAATGATTCAAGATACGACAATTTAATTTTTAACTTTTGACACCTATCCATTTAATTAATTACAATTTAACACTGTTAAGTCTAAATTAGACTACAAACTACAAACTTGCATAAACTTAGACTGCATAAATGCGGCTGAAACCATTGCCACCAAACTGAGAGAGAGACGTGGAAAAACTTGCTAGAAAATCAAAACATGTAGTTGGTCAAAATTATAGTACTACCGTGGTACCCATATACTGTTAGTTTATGATCAAAGTCACTGAACTCGGGGCACATTATGACATTGCATCATTTAAGAACACAAGGGACCCAGTGACCAACTAATAATGGAGCTGATTGTATAAACTCACATATTATATGTTTATATATATGTTTTATTTTGATAATGGACTTACGTTATATTTGTTGCATGGTGTAGATAGTTCAATGATGTACCTATCCAGATAATTCAATTATGTGCCTATAATCTATAATAAATTTTGGGCAATGATAAAAGGAGTGTAAGTGGATAAAATAGGAGAAAAAGGAGTGGGGAAATCACCACTCTAAATTTTATGCCATTTGGATGTGTATACGATTGAATCAAAGTTAGATCAATGGAGTTCCTGAGTTACTTTGGCTAAGGAGTTTGTTGAGGGTTCTAGGTTCGAGCCCGAGAAAAACCATGAGTATACACTGTGATAATAAGGTTGCTTTTGATATTTCACACAATCTAGTGCAACATGACCGTACAAAAAACAGTAAAGTCAACCCACATTTCATCGAGGAAAAGTTAGAAGCACAAATAATTATATTTCCTTCTGTGAAAATTATAGATCAACACAAATGGTATGACGGCTTCGCTTCAAAATGAAGGATACGGGTTTGACTCCGTTATCATCATCACAAATGACCGGTTCAGTTTAGGTGAACCTGCGGTTTGAGAAAAGCTAAACCGTGAACTGAACAATAGATTCCAATTCAATCCAGTTCACAACCTAATTTTCAAAAAATAAAATAAAAAAAATCGAACCAAACCAGTTCAACTAGTCTGGTTTGATAGGCTTCTCGGTAGGGAACGTAATTTTCAAAAAAAGAAAAAGAAAAAAAGAAAATCGGACCAAACCAGTTCAACTAGTCCGGTTCGATAGGGTTCTCGGTAGAGATGCCTAGCCCTACGTGTGCCACATAGTCGTGGCTCAACAGAGTATATTTCAAGAGATGAGAGGGTCAAGTTTCGGGGGTTTTCAAACTTGGTTTACTTGCTTTAGTGATTTGGCTTTTAGAGGTGTGATGCTACATGAAATGATTATGTGCTCTGGAGGTTCAAGCGGGATGTTGGATGCTCAAGCGTTGTGTTTAGTTTTTCGCACGTCGTATTGTACGGTTAAGATAGACAAGTTTTGTGTGTGTGTGTGTGAATTTAGAGGTGATTTTTAATAAGAGAGATTTGTATTTTTTTTATTTTTTTATACAAGTGATATTAGAGGAGGAGAGAATTCAAACACAGGACCTTTGATGCAGGATAACTGCTCTTAACCACTTAAGTTATAAACTCCTTATTAATAAAAAAGACTTTAATTTCCCTTATTTAGTTATATCCCTAACAACTAAATACGTAATTTGGTAATAAAAACTATCCTCTGTGAATATGGCAATAAAATTTCTAAGCATGTCTCATCAAAATTAATGTTGTGATGTACGATGAATATGCATGTTTTATGCAATGGACCAAGTCGTACAATTGGATGATGTACGGTTACATTAATATTTGATCAAATGAAAGAAACTATGAGCATATCGTTAGACGTGTAGGGCTTGCTTGGAAGTAAGGCTAAAAGCGCTTTCTGACAACTAAAAACACTATAACATTGTGTGACGGAAAAGTTTAGAAGCGCTTCCGGGAGACTTTAGGAAGCACTTTCAAATACTTTTCCAAAAAGCACTTGGGTTTTTATTTATTTATGAAAAATTCAAAAATTTTATAATAAAAGCGCCTTTGTTAGAAGCATTTATGAGTAGAAGTACTTTCTAGAGAAGCAGTCTCAAACGAGCTCATAATGTTCACACACGTATAGCATATTCTTTTTATTTTGTTTCTCATCCACGTGTCTCTAAAATTCTATAAAGAAATCAATCATCATTTGACATATAATGGCTCAAGTATTCGTTGTTTGCGAGGAAATCTTCACTACTTTCGAGGAAATTTTGAATTCAAGTTATTGTTCAATTTTAAATAAATAATAAATAAATAAAAGAAGAAGAAAAAAATCCATCAAGAACGTTTCCTCCATATATAAATACCCCCACCCTATACGCACAGCCATATGCCACAAGAAAGTATCTTTCAAAGCAATTACTAAGCAAAGATGAACAACTTTCTTTGTTTTGGCAAGAAATTGCAACATCTTTGTAGTTGTTCATTTCTCAAACTAGCCTGTCTTAGCAAATCCATGGGTTTTCTACTTGTATGTTATTATCGGTTCGTCCTCCGTAGGGCAAAGCCATTTTGGATCGAGCTAGTCTATTTTGTCACCCTCTCCTTTCTTGGTTTTGGGGTTCTCAAGGCTTTGAAGTCAAGAACAGATCCTTCTTTTCGGCCTAGGAATTTAGATTTGTTTTTCACCTCTGTCTCTGCCTCAACTGTTTCTAGCATGTCTACTGTTGAAATGGAGGTTTTCTCCAATGCTCAGCTCATCATTTTAACCATTTTGATGTTCATAGGTGGGGAGGTCTTTACCTCCATGGTTGGACTTCAGCTGTGGAAGTTCAAGCTCATGCTACTAACAAAAGAAAAAGTTGCTTCAGCCAGCAGTGATATTAATCCTTCATCAACACCCACAAATAATATTGTTTCTTATCATGTTGAATTGGGCTCATTGGCATCCAAGCCTGAATTCCAAGACTTAAATTTGGGTGTGGTGGTTTATGATCAGGACCAAATTGATAAACAATTAGATGGTGAATCTTTGAAGTTTAATTCAATCAAGTTTTTGGGTTGTGTGGTTGTAGGTTATCTTTTAGTGATTCATGGTCTTGGGGTGCTAATGGTTTCACTTTATCTAGCAGTTATTTCAAGTGCAAGAAATGTACTAAAAAACAAGGGGCTAAACATGCACACATTCTCTTTCTTCACCACAGTTTCAACCTTCTCAAGCTGTGGCTTTGTTCCAACCAATGAAAACATGATGGTCTTCAGCAAAAACTCAGGCCTCCTCCTCATTCTCATTCCTCAAGTCCTTTTGGGCAACACATTGCTTCCCTCATGCTTGAGATTTTCGATTCGGGTTTTGGGGAAAATTTTCAAAAAGAAAGAACACTTATGTAATTACCTTTTGAAGAACACAAGGAAACTTGGGTTCCTCCACTTGCTTCCAAGTCTCCATTCTTCACTTTTGGTTGTCACAGTTTTCGGGTTCATCATGGTACAGTTGGTAGCATTTTTGTCCTTGGAGTGGAGTTCAGACAGCTTAAGTGGCCTGAATTCTTACCAGAAAATCATTGGCGCTTTGTTTCAAAGTGTGAATTCAAGACATACCGGTGAAACTATTGTCGACCTCTCGATCATTTCTCCGGCCATCTTGGTATTATTCGTCTTGATGATGTTAGTTTCTTTCTCTTTCCATCCATCCATCCATGCATCTATCTATTTATTATCTATACATACATACAAGTAAGAAAAATCTTCTCGTTTGACAAACATGTTTGCTGTCCAATTGCCAATCATAATAATTATTAGTTAAATAGAATCGCGTTTACATCTATAGTCCTATGATTATTATAATATAACATATTAGACTGTCGTAAAAATTATTTTTATCACTTTGTAACATACTAATTGTCGAATCATAATTTTTACTACTTTGTAACATACTAATTGTCGAATCACCATGTGATTCGGTTTTTAGTATATGGAACTTAATGATTTTTGGCCCACAAAAAAAAAATTAAACTTCATGAATATAAAATTGATCCACACAGAAGTAGATGAACATAAAATTAATCCCAATATGTAAGAGTGATAAACTAGTTAGTAAACAAGAAAATGTTGGACTAGTTAGCTCTTTTTCCACACATTGTGGATGACAAGGGCAAAAAACAAGGAATGAAAAAAAAAAACTAGTCCTCATAGCCAAGTTGCCAAAAGAGGCAAAGAAAATGAAATATTAAATAAGCATATGCTAGCAGGTGAAGATCCTCACTTAGAGGCACCAACTCAGCCTAGGCCTAGGGGAAAGGGACCCACATGCATTTCTACTAGAATAATAGAAGAAAATGATGACTTTTGGTTAGGTTTTGTTGGTTCCTTAGTTTGCCACTAACTAAAGACATCACAGTAATATATCAGACAGACTCACCTCAAATTACATGCTTCTTTCAATCTCTCTCTCTCTCTCTCTCTCTCTCTCTCTCTTAAATATTTGAATCTCATCTCATCAATGACACAACTAACAGATACATCTCAACTCAGTTTTTATTGGAACTAGATGGATCTTCTGTTGAATTAATTAATAAGGTCCCCTACACGTAGCCTTGAAACTTTGAAACCATGCCAGTTGGTTTGGACACTACCTTGCACTACTCGAGTTCAAATTCCCTCTCCTTTTAAATTAGAGTAGTTGATATATATTATTATTATTATTAATTCATGAGCTTTTTTTTTTTTTTTTTCTCTCTGATAATGATTCTTGTTTTAATCGAAGGTACCTTCCTCCTTACACTTCGTTCCTTCCCATAAAAGATGATGATCAAAATCCTCTACAACCTCATGAAAGGAGGAAAACGAGAAGGGGAAAGGTTGTGGAGAATCTCATATTCTCACAGCTCTCGTATCTGGCCATCTTTATCATCCTAGTATGCATAACTGAGAGGAAACAGATGAAGGAAGATCCCCTCAATTTCAATGTGTTGAATATCGTGATTGAAGTCATCAGGTAAATCCGATATATGAAACCAGACAAATCTTCAGTAACCCTTCTTGAGTATTTCTTTGAAAAGAAGGGCTCCACCAATACTGCTTACAACTGAGATTTTGTTACTTGTGTGTGTTGGTTTAATTTTCTTTTAAAATATTACAAAGCATTTTGCCCTTTGCAATGTCGCTAATTTATTACCATTATCTTGTTTCCCACAGCGCTTATGGAAATGTAGGGTTTACTACTGGCTATAGTTGTAAACGACAGATCCATCCTAATGGCGATTGCCAGGATAAATGGTATGGATTTTCAGGAAGATGGAGCGATCAGGGTAAATTAGTTCTCATAGCAGTTATGTTTTTCGGAAGACTTAAAAAATTCAATATGGATGGAGGTAGAGCATGGAAGCTTCTGTAACTAAAATGCTTTTGGATACGAGCGATAGTTTTAAACTACTCTAAACTACTATAATCTTTTGAGAGAGTTTCAAACTTGGGTGTAAGAAGGTAGACACATTGAACAACTGACATTTCCATGTCGTTGAGTACATAAAAAAAAAATATAGAAAAGTTGATATAGATCCAAATTTTCATTGAGAAGTTGGGTTTAATCCTCGGATTTGGTGACTTTGATACAAGTCCTTTGACTTTTATACCATATAGGATTACATTCCTCTTTAAATATTTTATGATGTAATCTTTTTATTTTTATTTTTTTAAATCATTTTTGGTTCCAATGTTGCCCCTTAAGCTTTGAATCGGCTAGCAACCTTCTCTCTAACCTTCTTTTTTGGACCTTCTCCCTTCTCCTCATGTCATGTGTCACTTTCTTTGTACTAAAACAATGTCATTAATGCTTAGCTTTTGTTTTCCAAGATTTTCCTTATTAAATATATTGACCTTCATATTACCTTCAATTTATCTAAATTTTTTTACAAATTGGAAAAATAAAAATAAAAATAAATAAAATAATATTTTGTTTTAGCCACCAGCCCCAGCCATACGCCCCATCTCCATCTCTCAAAATAGCCACCCATCACTGCGTAACATCTTCTTCTCTCGCCCCTTGTGGTTGGGTTGTTTTTTCCAATGTTTTCATATTCCCTTCGAGACTATGATTTTCCCTCTTATGGCTTTGTACATGTAACCATTTTTATCAAAAGTCCCAAGGGAAATTAGATTCTTATGCAAACTTGAAATATATATTACCATCCTCAATGTCCTAACAATGCCATAATGCATCTTTAGCTTAATCATACATGTGCCCTGAACTTTACAAATTGAGTCGTCCATTATCACAACTTAAACACCATCAACTTTCTCATATGTGTAAAGACACTCCTTATTTGAGCACATATGATATGAGCACCCAGAATTCAAAATCCAGCAAGAAGAGGATCTCCAAGAAGATATAGAAAATAAATTACTATTAGTTTTATCAACACATAAAAGCTTACCATTGATATCCATGGCAACCCCCACTGTGCCCACTGACTTCCCTTTGTTCCTCTTCTTTTTCTATGTGGGACAATTATTCTTCTAGTGTTCTTTTGACCCACGCTCAAAACAACCATCTTTAGCCTTGAATTTTGACCTACTCATGTTACCTTTCTCACCTTCATGCTAACTTGAACGATCCCTCTCAACGACCTTTGCAACTAGACCTTCACCTTGAGAGCTCTCCCCATCATTTATCCTATGATGGAAGAGAATATCTTTCACAACCTCCTCAAATTTGAACATGCTCTTGCCGAACTTAAGCATTGTCTTGAAGTGCTTGTATGATGAATGTAAGGATCTCAAGACAAAAATAGCCTTATCTTCTATTCTCTACAAGTTTGCAACACACTTATTAGAGGTGTTTAAATGCTCCAAGAGATCTTCACCCTCTTCCGTTTGAAGATTTAGGGGTTCATCCTTCAAGAAAAGTTTTTGTTTGAAAGTGACCTTCCTACATACATATATTCAAGCTTTTTCAATGTTTGCTTCGCAATGTCTTCAATCATATTGAATTTAACCTCATTGGCTTTATAGTTCTCAATCGAACCCCTACCCAACTCACTAACCGTGTCTCACTCCTCCAATGTCGTGGTTTCCAGCTTCATGTCTTTGTCTGCCAAGACAAACACTGAGACCTAGGTGGCCTAGGGTGTTCCTCATCCTTCTTGCCATAATGTAAAGTTATCCTTGTCAAATGGCGGCTGCTTTAGCTCCATCATCTCCAACACGCTAATGTCCTTAAAACTATAGGAATACTTGGGCATAAGCCTGCACTTGCTGCTAATGCAGTTCTGATACCACTTGTAGTGTGGAAGACTCCAAGACCTTGTTATCGATAGACTATGACGAATAGCGTGCGTGTGCACGTGAGCACACACACACACCAAGCAATAAAACAAACAAACAAAGAACACAATAATTTATAAAGATTCAGTATTGTGCATGCGTCGCCCCAATAAATTTCACTAGTAATAAAAACACCTTTCGTTTACAAGAAAAACCTCTTGGCTCTTATGAACACTAGATCTCAATTTCGCTCACATTCTGTAAAGAATGTGATTTATTGATATTATTCTTGGATACAATTGTACAATATATATATATATATATATATATATAATACAGATGACTTTTACTGAGACTATTTTGGTAAATTCAAAGGGCTATTAACCGTAGCAAATCATTTGGAGATCATGATATCAATCAACATCATTTAGAGATTCATTAGTGGAGAAACGCAAACCCAATTTGATGCCTTTGTGATCTCTCTCACTTTAACCTGGCCCCCTATTGGAGCATAAATTCTTACAATAAGAATGTCTTCCACATGTTCTTGACTTTACTCCGCACACAAGATAAATAAATCTCCAAGCAACACTTCTTCGAAATAAGATGAGAGAGGGATGGGTACATGCAAAAGATACTCCGACGCTCAAGTCAATTTTTGTATGTATTTGAGTGCACCAATTAATTTGAAATCTCATACCTTTCTCTAGTTGTGGAACTTCACATTTATACCTGATGACAGACTTGGGATGCAAGCCTCACTTTGCACGTCTTATGTCCACTTTCGCCACTTCCGGTTAATGTGAGTTGTGCGTTATCAACTCCCAACCATGTTCACGTTGTCCCCTGATTCATACGGATTAGGGAGTGCGGGCATTTGAATATACCCACGAACCCATGTCGGGCCATTTGTACATGAGTCAACATAGGGTAATGCGCTTGTGAACCTATGTTGAGTGGTGCATATCTGAACCCGTGTTGGGCAGTGCACATCCGAAATCGCATTGGGTTTACGCGCATGCGAACTTGTATTGGGCTAATGTCCATATGAACTTACATTGGGCTTATATGCATATGAACCCATATTGGATCGACCCCAATCCGAGCTCGTGTTGAGCTTTTGTGCATGCGAACCCACATTGGGTTTATGTGCATGCGAACCTGTATTGGGCTAATGTTCATATGAACTTGCGTTGAGCTTATGTGCATACAAACCCATATTGGATCGACCCCAATCCAAGCTCGTGTTGGGCTTTCGTGCATGCGAACCCACATTGGGCCAATGCCCATCTAAACCTATGTTGGGTTGTGCCTAAATCTAATCACGTGATGTGGTGGATCGATAGCGAATTATTTTGCTCCCACATTGCCCTTTTCTTTCCTCTTCCAGATCGCGCTTAGCGTGTGGGTTGAAGGAAAAACTCAACTTAGTTGACACTCTCTTTGGGATACTATCCTTGCCCTCTTGGATCATTGTACATGACTTGCCAATCAACAAGGTAGCAATGACAGTTAACAATGTCATAAAAGATCACTAGGGCACAGACATATCTACATGAGTCCAATATGTCAGATACAATAACACAAGAAACCTTATTAATTACTATCGAAAATGAGGAAGACACTTTTGCTTGAGGATAGACAATGACATACTTGAGTACCTACCAGCTGGTAATGTGGCAAGGAATTTATTTCAATTCTGACAATTGCATGTCCATCATTTCGACAAGATTCCCTACATAGCCCACTATGCACGCGGAAGATTTCCAAAAAATAATGGATTTCCCATGACCCTGACAATTTAGTTTTTCAAAACCTGTTCCTGACACCAATTTATTACTCCTCCCTCTTCTTTAGAGTTTTGCATTTCCCTCTTCACTCATAAAAGAAGATGAATATATTGCAGAGGCAACAAAAGGGAAAACAAAAGAAAAGAGAAAGAAAGAAATAGGTGAAAGGAGAAGAGGAAAAATCCCTCAGAATCTGCGTTGGCTTCTTGCTCGATTGTATGTCATCTTATGAACGATGTTTTGGTACTTCCTTACGGCTGGCCTACAAACAAGTCCACACCTGGGTGCTGCTTTATTTCTGTAATCTATTCTGCCAGATCCATCACCAATCATTCTTCTTCTTTGTGGGTTCCTTCATCGTCAATAATTTCTTTGTTCAGGTACCAACTGAATATGCAATAATCTATGCACTTCTATTCGTACTAATTCAGTTGTGATGAACATATATATAAAGTTACATGTTTATGTACTTGTATGCAAGTGAAGAACATATGTATACATGAAGGAAATATGATGCGTGTGCATATATATGTTTTTATATATGTTGGTAACGATATGTAGACACTACTACCTGTAGTCTGCGTGTGCATATATTAATATATATATATATATATGTATATAAGGCAAAGTTATGTATATGTTCCCTGGGGAATATATAATAATAATATCAAAAGTTCTGACGTTGACCTTATGCTGACACCTACTATACAACTGGCATTGTACCCATCATCTGTGCTTCCCAAAACACATAAAATTAATAAGTAAAGTGAAGTTGGCTTGGGACACTGTTCACCTTAATTATAATATGTTCTAGGTGTAGCTAGCTTAGTAAATTTACAAACTAAAGTCAATTGACATATGCATACTGTGCAATTTTCTAATTAACCCGTACATGTAATATGCCAGGGAACGATAATAGTGACGGTGCACTCACGCTTAATGCCCATAGCTTATGTCTCTATAATTGTTTTAGTCTGTCTAAACTTGGAGTTTACACTCTTCAATTGCTTCGTGGTATCACTCCTGCCATTTTTGAGTCTACGTGAATAACCAACTTGCTTTCTCTAAAAAGGATTTTCCTTAGTCACGCTTATTTGAAGCTATGGTTGACTTCTCAGGAGACTTACTCGACTAGGGTCTTTTCAATCCGGGGTTGTGTTTTGACTAAGCTGAACCCCCTCAAGTCTAATTTATCCAGTTTGGGTTGCGCCGGTTTTTGAACCAAGCTCACATTTAAACTGACTTCGTGATACGCACCCTCTCCTCAAGTTGCCTCTCTCATTCAACTCTCGTTTCGTCTGCTTGCTTTCTAATTACTTCGACGTCGAGACTTAACCTTTAGCCGAAGTCAAAGGTGGGATATCCCTTGAGGCTTGAGATAAATAAGATGCGAGAGAAATTCCGCATTCCTAATGATGTTACTATAGATTGGATACATAAGGGAGCGAATATGTACACAGGGGTTGGAATCCTGAAGGGAGCTTTTAGTGCTCTCACCATCTCACCTAGAGTTGATTAGGTTTCCGCTTCTCCCCTTTATTTCACCTTGTGTTGAATTCTTTGAACCTCCATCCTATGCAGTTAAATCCGAACTCATACTTATTGATTAGTGATATGCTGGCAGTTGGCCTCAAATGGGAGGAGGTGTCACTAGGCTTCTTAGATATCTTCTACCACCATTATGTTGCCACGGTTAGATATGAGACTGAGTATTTCTACCTAACCCCTCAACCTACTCGTAAATTCTTCGGCTACAAACCGTCTTCCGCGACAGATTGGAAGACCCGACCCTTAATGATTACCGGGAATTGGGCAGGCCCTAAGATGTCTTGTATTTCTATTCCTTCATCATTTGGGCCTGAACCTGGTATTCTTGATTATGACTGCTCTACTGATATTGATTATGATACGAATTTTTAGAGGAAACTTATTAAATGGTTTTTTTTATTTTGTAGTGCCTAACCCAACCCGTTCAGAGATTGTCCTTACTCATGAGTGAATCCAGTGGCCGATTCCAACACGCTTCTTCATATTTCTCAAGATTGGGATAATATTGTCTACCCATCTTACCTCGGGGTTGATCTTAGTGTGGATCTACATGAGACAGAATTAATAGGTCATATAGTCAGCTTTGATCGAGCTTTCCAACTCGAGGAGGATTCCTCATATCTCATTCGAATAAGTTACGCAGAGAGACATGCTCAAGAGGAAGAAGATAGCGGTGGTTATTCTCCTGACGAATCTGAGCTATCTGATATGTCGGGCCCATTACTCAACCAGTCGAAATGTGCTTCTCGACCAGGTCCAAGGCAGAGACCATCCGTTGATCAGCAGAAAAAAAGGTCCAAGATTGTTCCAAATGCTGGGTTGAGTTCAGATCCTACAGATGTGTTCATTCCAGGTTCATTTTCAGGCCGATCCCATCATGATGAGCTCCGTTGAACTTCCCACATACGGTGCCAACTGTTGGAGCAGAAATTCTTACAATAAGAATGTCTTCCAAAGGTTCTTGGCTTTACTCCGCACACAAAATAAATAAATCTCCAAGTAACACTTCTTCGAAATCAAATAAGAGAGGGAGGGGTACTTGCAAAATATACTCCGACGCTCAAGTCAATTTTTGTATGTATTTGAGTGCACCAATTAATTTGAAATCGCATACCTATCTCTAGTTGTGGAACTTCACATTTATACTTGATGATAGACTTGGGATGCAAGCCTCACTTTGCATGTCTTATGTCCACTTTCGCCACTTCCGGTTAATGTGAGTTGTGCGTTATCAACTCCCAACCGTGTTTACGTTGTCCCTCGATTTATGTGGATTGGGGAGTGCGGGCGTTTGAATATATCCACGAACCCATGTCAGGCCACTTGTACATGAGTTAACATGGGGTAATGCGCTTGTGAACCCACGTTGAGTGGTGCATATCCGAACCCATGTTGGGCGGTGCGCATCCAAAATCGCATTGGATTTACGTGCATGCGAACTTATATTGGGTCAATGTCCATATGAACTTACGTTGGGCTTATGTGCATACGAACCCATATTGGATCAACCCCAATCCAAGCTCGTGTTGGGCTTTCGTGCATGCGAACCCACATTGGGCCAATGCCTATCTAAACCTATGTTGGGTTGTGCCTAAATCTGATCCCGTGATGTGACGGATTGATAGTGAATTATTTTACGTGAGATGGACTCTTGGTAACTTCGTATCACCATAGCTGAAAGTACCCTTTGATGGAAAGGTAGAGCTCTTGTAACTTCATTTCACAATAGCTGAAAGTACCCTTTGATGGAAACGGGGAGTTGCGTTTTTGAATTTAGCTGCTCTGTGAAACTTGTGTAAGGCTATTGATAAACAACATTTTAAAGTTGGGGATTGATTATATAAAAATTTTCATTTTAAATTTTTTTTGTTTTTAACTTCCGCTACCAATAAAAATCTGGTCCAACCCGTTTTAAATATAAAAAGGAAATCGTCACATAGTGCGTGAAACAAGGTATAATAGGAATAATAGAAAAAAAAAATTGTTAATTTATTTTGTAGAAATCCTCTTTTGTTTGGGCTCGAGCACCCAATTTTACCCAAAAAAGGTCCTCGCCTTGCTATTATTCCAGAGAAGACTAGGTTGCCAGAAGTTAAGGACATAACTAAACATAGAAATAATCATCATCTTTTTCTGGATAGTTTTCCGTTGGGAGCTTCTAAAAATGGACATATAGAGGGGCTATTTTTAGGCAGAGAGAAGCAGGAGAGACAAACATGGCAATGGTTATATAGAGGCATGCATTTCCATAGTTGAAAAGGATTTTTAGAAACAAAATCCCTACATAGAAGGGCTTGGGTTCTTCCTTGAGGTCCTTCTATGTTACAGAGGCCACCCCAATATGGCCAATGCAAGAATATCTGACATCATGGGCCTCAATGGTGGTGTTATTCCTCTAGGCTTTGCTGCCTTGGTTATGTTTTCTTGCGTGGCCAATGCTTTGTCCGGCGAATATCTTTTGGGGGAGGGTGTCCGTCGAAGCCTTGCCGAGAATGACACTGCTCAGGTGAGTAGTAAAACTACATCTATTCTGAGTTTTACCTGTTTCTGCCATGCCGTCTAGAATATTATTTGGTTTTGGTGTGGTGAGAAATGTCATAAGTTGATTCCCTTAATGTTTTTTAGATCGCAACTTTGTTTTTTTAAAGATAAAAAATTAGCTACAACTTGCTTGATTAAAATATGATGGCCTCTAGTTAGCGAGTTACCTGGTGCCACAATGGTAGGGGTTCGAAACCCATTGGAAGCACTTTGTGGCTAGGAGCAAGCCGAATTCCGAGGGGTAATTAATCCCACCCTAAGTGTAGGGACACTTCGTGGTATTTAATTTAAATTAAAAAAAAGATATGTGCTAAAATATTCTATAAAATATGTCTGATGTTCCTAACACTATCGTATAAAAATTGAAAGTAAAAACCAATAAAACTTCAAGCTTATAGTTTAGAAACCCAAAAATCAATGGCAAAAGAAAGTTGAGAAAAGATCAATGTTTTGGATAGGGTTCGAGTTTTTTGGTTGGGTTTGAACGGACTTAAATTTTATGGGGTCCAGGCGTACTCTTTCTCTGGCCGACCCAAAAAGCTCTAGGCCCAACAAATCATTTTTACACCTATACCCAACAAAGAAAAATTTTAGACGTTGCACATGTGAAGCAAACATATAGAACAGAGAGGAGCCAACAGGATAAGAGATTTCAGGTTCCGACCCTCATGGTATCTTAGTTGTGTATGTGTGATAAATTCTTCTTTTGCTAATAAGAAAAAGAAAAAGAAAAAAAGATTCTACAACTTGACACATAAACTGCAGTTTGCAGCAAATAGTTCGTACAGAAGCAAGTTGTAACTTGGCAACTAGGAACTATCCAAGATAAACAAGTCAACTAGTAAAGTTTTCTATCACTTTCCCCTTTCTTTTCTTGCAAAAGCAGGGAAGTGTTCACACCCACAAGAAATGGACCCCACAACTACTCACAAACATCTATAAAAAAAAAGTCACCCACAAATATCTATTAGAGAAAATTATCCAATTAAAAGATTACACGTGTTCAAATGTAATGGACCCGTCACCTAACACTTACATATAGTCAAAAATAATCTCGTTGATGCTTTTCTCTGTAACATTATTTGGCTTCTTACACGTAAGGAGCACTTGCTTTTTTAACTACAAATCACAGGTTATGCACGTGTTATTGTGATTTATAAGAACGACTTACAGCTAAATATTTTCATGCCACACAATATATTTTGCTAATATAGTTGAAAAATGTAGTCCCTCAGCCCTCTAGGATTATTCCCAGTACAAAAACGGTTCAGTCCCTCAATTCAAAGAAAACCAAAAAACAAAAAAAAAAGGAAAAAAGGAGATTAAAAATATGTGTATGATTTTGGTAAGAGGTGTGAAGGAACACTACAAAAACATATCACGAGTCATTACAAGACAAAGCCAACCTCTTCTCTTCCCCCATCTCACTCCTCCCCGTAGCTACACATAGCCTTCTCAGCTATTTTCCACACCTCTCACTTTCTCTGCCACTCTTTTCTGATAAAATAAAAATAATAAAATTCAGAGCCCTATTTGCAAAAGCAAGCCCCTCAAATTTCAGTGCATTTTTCTCTGCTTGCTTTTCCCAACCATGGTTCTTAAGCAGTCCTTGAAGTGTGTTCTTGCCCTCTCTTTTCTTGTCCTCTACTTTGATTCCATCCATGTAAATGCCCTTAACATTGGTGTTCAAGCCACAGATGCCTCTATTGTTCTGGTTTGCTCCTTGCCATCATCTTCTTAATCTTCTTCATCATCTTACTTTTAATATATATTCTTTTGGTTCTCAGTTGCTTTCAAATCATAACATATGTTCTCTCTTCCTATAAATGCTAAAAATTTGCAGAGTAAAGATTGCAGTAGACAGTGTGAGTCAGAGTTCTGTACAGGTACTAATTTTATTTTAATTAAATTTAGTTAATCGTCCCACTAAATTAAATCACCCCCTTTTTTTTTTTTGTGAATTTAATTTCTTTTTATTGTTTTTAATTTTGGGTGACAGTGCCTCCATTTTTAAGATATGGAAAGTATTGTGGACTCTTGTACAGCGGATGTCCAGGGGAGGAACCCTGTGATGGCCTTGATGAATGCTGCATGAAGCATGATGCCTGCGTTCAATCTAAGAACAGTAAGTTCATTTCTTAATCCTCCAAATTATTTTACAATTTTATTCTGCTCTGCTGGGATTGTTCTTCAATTTTTTTTTGTTACATGGGTTGGAAAAATTAAAGCAAAAAAAAAAAATAAAAAAAATCAATGGTTGGTAAAGATGATTTGTTTCTTTCATCACAAGTGGTGTAATTCTTAGAGATGCACAATAATGTCTAACCAGCAACCATGGATTTGAAGTAATATTTCTTCAGTCAAGGAAAGATCATGCACACTTTTGATTCTTCACAAGATGTAAACTACAGACAGACAATTTGATGAGCTTTTGTATTGTCGGGGGTGTGGTACAGAGATAGGATTAGGTGCAGCCAAAACTTTCGAACTAAAACAAAACTAATCTTTTGGATGGTAGTAATATTTAATTAGGTGGTTGATAAAAAAAAAAGATTATAAATTTTGTTTTGGGGTAAGCTGTCTGTGTACATGATCTAATACAAAAAGCTAGCCTCTCTTTTGTTTTTCTTCATTTCTTATGTTGGGGTGTTGTGGTTTGTGGTGCAGATGATTATCTAAGCTCAGAGTGCAGCCAACAGTTCCTAAATTGCATGGCCGAATTCAGAAACTCAAAAGGGAAAACGTTTAATGGGAACACATGTCACGTTCAAGATGTTGTTGAAGTTATAACTCTTGTCATGGAAGCTGCATTAGTTGCTGGAAGATATCTTCATAAGCCTTGACACAGAGAGAGAAAGAGAGAGAGCTTGCAGCTCCTCTTTTCTTATTGTTTCTGAACTTTTTTTTTTTTTTTCTTTCTTTTTTCATGTTCTTTCTTCTTGCATAGGTGGACAGCACATGCACTTATGCCTTTACTTAAAATTTCCACAAAAATTTCATTGCACAATTCTCTCACCGAAACCAGCAAATTTTTCATTCCTTGTGTCTTTGCTTCAGGGGAGGGGGGAAAATGATTGAAATGGGAAGAAGTGGAGATTGTAAATTTCATTTGATACTTCAATTTTGCAGATTTTCAAGTTGATATGCTATTTTATCCCTCTCCCTTTACCTATTGCAATGAAAGACCTGCATGCAATAAATTAAGCTCTATATTATTATTATTATTTATAAATGCATACATTGTGCGTAAATCGAGTGCTAGAATTGCAATTAAGATTAATACTCAAATCAACAATTAAGACCGAAATCTGCAAGGGGCTTGTAGCTCAAGTGATTAAGAGCATTTACCTTTGCATCTAAGGTCATGTGTTCGATTCCCCCCACCCCAAAATTTAGAGAGAAAAATAAAATAAAATAAAATAAAAGAGAGACCGAAACCTATTCAAACAGTGCCCAAAAAGTCTAGATGCACTGATAAAATCCAGCACTTCCAAATTGTAAAGAACCCTGCATCTCAGTGCCGTATGGTGACAGCTCAGACTTAGAGAGAAACTAGCATTGGGGCTGTCCCATTTGTCCCATGAATTTTTCACAATCTGTCGAAATAGTCCCCGACCCAAAATAGCGCTGGGAAGAAAATATTTGATCTTGGGGGTTGTCTTGAGGTAAGAGGAGTAATTGATGCAAAGAATGGTGATAATAGCAGAAGAAATATACTGTAGAAGGGGCAGTAGATTTAAAAAATTTATTTGGCATTTGGTACCATTAAGAATTTTGTGTCGTAATTACTTTGCCTTGGCAAACAACAACAACAAAATTAATACTCAGATCAACGACAAGAATAAAAATATCTTCAAACACTAGCCAATCTCTCAATGTATCGATAATAATTGAGCAGTACGAAATTGTAAGCCGTTGGAATGATGTCAAATGCACAAGTAAGTAGAATTTTTCTAACCGCAAACATTGTTCATCTTACAACCAAAACAAAAAAATAGACAGAAACAGCATGGGAGAGAAATGCCATTGCCATCACACACAAGCCAAAGTCTCCATATAATGGTAAGCATCTCGCCATCCAACTTGCAATGATCTCTTACTCTCAGTGCCTTTGGAAGTTAACTCACAAGCTTTCTCAAAGCTCTTATCCCTCAGATTATAAGAGATGACCTTACAAGGAATATGCAACAGCAGAGATGAACCCTCTTTGTTTACTTCTCGAGCAAGAAAGAGAACAACAAATGCATAATGATAATACCAAGTTTCCTCCTTGCTAGGGTCAACAACATTATGTTCCGGGACCATCTCAGGAAATGCGGCGGCTATTGGATCAAGATCGACGTGGTACTTGACAAACCAGCCAGAGTAGTCCCCCCCCATCTCCATCACGTCAAATTGAGTAACACAAGGCCTATAAATTTCGATGAGGTGCAAATGGCCATGAGACTCTCCAAAATATCTATACTCCCTCTTGCGAAAAACATTGTAACTCGGAGGCCTAGACACCATTCCATGACTTTCTTCATCTATGTTATAATGTAACACCCTACTTGTACGGCTAATCCAATTGATTGCGCCATTGAAGTACACCCCGTGGCTAAAGTCTATATGGAATGGCCTAAGAAAGGTGGACTCACGAAGTGTCCAATTTCGAGTCTCAGACGAATAAATCTCTATCTGGAAAGATATAACAGATCCAGCAATGCACCGAATGCAGAGGACCTTGTAATGAAGCGATTTGGAAGGGTCAAAAGCCAAAGCAACCCCCAAAATGCTTGTGGATTTAGTAGCATATGGTGAATTAGTGATAGCTGAAAATTTGTTGGTTGTGGGATTGAGAACAAAATAACATCTGGGGTTACTACTTGTGTTTGTAATTTCTTGTAAGGAACAGCACAAGAGCAGGCCATTGCAGGATTGCAAAATCTTGATGCGCGGTGGGTGTTTGATGATCCTGGGAGGTTTCAAGAGGGATCCAGACTGGTTTTCATTGTTCGGAATTGATATGAAGTAGAAATCATGTATTGCCGTGTGAAAGAAGAAGGCTGAGACATTGCAGTACGGGTTTTTGGAGGTGTGGGTGTCACAAAATTTAGGGTTGGAGATGAGAGCGAACCAATTCTTGCAGACGCACTTGAAGCGAAGTAGAGAACGAGCTGGAATGCATAGAAAGACCGGTGTTAGGAGATCTTGGTTGCTGGCAATGGTTTCTGCTGGTGGGGAGATGTTGGGTGGTTTGAGACAGAGACTCTGCATTTTTTTTCTTCCAAGGGTTTAATTTGCTTCAATGTGTGACAGAGAGATATAAGAGCAACTCCAACGTTCTCATGCCATTTAGGGATTATCAATGTCATATTTGATACTTCTAAATGGTAGAAATGCTAAAATTTCAAGTTTGTTAAACGTTCTCAAATGGTAAGTTGCTATTTCTGTATGAATAAAAAAATATATACAAATTTGTCTCAAGTATGTGGATCCCTTTACCAATAAATCCGTTGTCTCATCTATGATTAGTTTTTTCACTTTTTTAGAAGGGAAGTATGTGAGCTCTCTTCAATGCCGTTGCAAAAGTTGGTGGCAAATTTAGCATAAATTTCACCTGTCCGAATAAAGCCCATGTTGGATGCATGGATTCAAAATTTCATGTACTTGGGCCATTAAAATTTTGGAAAATGAATTTTATTTCTTATAATAATTTTTTATTTGTCAAAGTTAGGAAGAGAGAATGGAGGAAACACACACACGGGTACCATAGGACTTGAATCTAAGATCATTTGAGAGCACACCCAAGACATGGATGTATTTTATTGTTTTGGCCCCTTGATATTAGATTGTTTTATTTTATATTATCAAGGGCATTTTAGGGGTTTAGAGAATTATATATATAGCTCAGGGTAATTAAACCAATTTACTTGTAATAAGGGCGTAATTGACATTTCACTATACAATTATTTTTGGGAAAATACTTCCCTCTTTACCATATAAGTAGGAGCTCTTACATTCCTACTAATAGAAATGCGACATGTGTGCATCAACAAATACATTTACTGCTGTGTAAACCCATCCCCACAGAGCAACACTCTCAACAATGCGAGGAAAATACATTTATACATGAGGATGACGAGATTGAAAGGATGTATTATGCAGCCAGTAAAAAGCATCACCAATACCCACCACCAAAGCAGGCAAAACTGAGTCACCATCACGAAGGTGAGTGAGCGCCGTTGAGAACGGTTCATCCACGACACTCGATTAACGGAACACGTGCAGCAATGGATAGATTAGGGTGCACCTCTAAGAACAGAACCCAGATCGAATCTTCCTCTACATCGGCGTTCGAACCGAGTGGACGGTCATGGTGTACGTCGTCCAACCAACCCTATAGCTGGAAACCTTTTCTTCGGGGTCGATTGACTGAGGGATCTCCCTCCTCCAACTATTTCAACTCTCTGTTATTAGTATGGCGAGCCGAACTAAAGGCGGTTCTCTTCTCAAATGAATTGCAGTTTGACCCAATAGTGAGTAGCCTTTCTTTTTTCTTCTCGGTCCGCTTTGGCTCCTGATCTTGAGCTCGCTTTTGTTCAATTATAAATAAAAAACCGCTTTGATGGAGATTTGTAGTGCGAACAACTCCTTTTGCGGTAGAAAATCCACGGTCTTGTGTGGTTCCTGAAGTCAGTGACCTCCAACGGCGTAAGCCGAGGGAACGAGAAATCAACGACAACGAACGCAAATGTCGACGGAAGCCACGGCAAGACAACTCCAAACGAATTTGCATTTTCAAGATTTGAAAATCCTTCTGGTAGATTAATTACAAAACATATTTAGAAAATAAAAACAATAAAAACGTGTCTGGTAGTACAAATTGAGAATAACATTATGTAAGTTATTTTTCAAGTGTATTTTTGCTAATTTCTGTTTTAAAAAAATATTTAAAAAATGTATCATTTAACAAATAATTTTTTTTAAAGCTAAAACTATCTTTATCTCCTTTTTTTTTTCTTCTTTTTTCTCTTTTCTCTTTTTTCTTTCTTTCTTCCTCTTTTCTTCTTCTTTCCTTCCCAAACCCGTTCCTGTTTCTTTTCCTTCCTCCTCTTCTCTCCTTTCTCTTTTCTTCTTCCTTCCCTCTTTTTCAGTCTCACTCCTCCTTCCACGGCATAAATCCCCATCAACCCACCTCTCTCTGGTTCCACTAATTAATGGTTGTGGTGGTTAGATTAGGTGGTGATAATGGTTGAGCTAGGTATGTGGCGGTTGCTCTCTCTCTCTCTCCCCTTTCTCTTTTCTTCTTCCTTCCCTCTTTTTAACTCACTTCTTCCTTCCAACCCACCTCTCTCTGGTTCCACTAATTAATGGTTGCTTGGGTTAGATTAGGTGGTGATACTGGTTGAGCTAGGCATGTGGTGGTTGGTTGCTCTCTCTCTCTCTCTCTCTCTCTCTCTCTCTCTCTCTCTCTCTCTCTATTTTTCTTTTCTTCTTCCTCTCTATCTTTTTTTCCCAATTGCAAATTTGTGCCATTATGAATTTTTTTTTTCGGTTGTTGAAATTTTGGAGCTAATTATGGTTGGCAAGGGGAGATTTGATTGTTTTGGATATAATTTTATTTTCTCATTTCTCATTTTGGATATGATGTATCCAAGTTCTTAGTGAGGAGCAACAGAAATAAAAAAAACAACATAGAAAGGGATGTAATTGCTTCTGATAAGGGTTACCTCCTCCTTAAGTTGCATCCCATATCTGCAGAGGAACTCCATTCTTTTTCTCATGGAGCCTTTTAAATATGTAGCATCCCTCTCTGCTTGCTTTCTAAGGAAACAAAACCAGTTTGGATGGACTACATTCAACAAAACAGAAAGAATTAAGGCTAAAGCCAAACTCCCAGCTCAAATGAAAATTAGACCAAGACCAAAAAAGAGAGAAATTAGGCTTAAAGGTCCAGAAGCAAGTTTTATTGAATTGTAGGCATATGCAGCTCACCTAACAAGCTTCCCTAAGAAACACCTCCTTATGGCTGTATAGAATCAAATCCATTAGGCAAGTGACCTGCAATTAGTTTTAAAGTCCTCAACTTTCCATTCCAAACTCATAAACCAAACCATAACCTCCCATAGTTAATACAAAAATGATAAAATAAACACTTCAAATTTCATGAGTAAAAAACAGCAATACTAAAGGAGAGCACATCAGATAAAATTCCACAATCTCCTTCTCCCTCCCTCTTTGCTAAGTTATTATCCCAGGCACATCAACCCATGATACCGCAGCTCCAAATCCTCTATGTTTCTTCAATTTGTTTACTGAAATTAGCCTGCAAACAAATTAAAAAATGCTTTATATCAGTAGCATATGCAGTGTTGGGTTTGGTTTATTAATGTGCAGTAGATACGAAGTTCAGTAGCATCCCTTATTGCAGAAGAATGGAGAAGGCTTGCAATTTTAGTTCAAACATCTTTAACTTTAAACGTTAAAATAAATTGATATATAATTCAGTAGCGGATAAGTACCAGCAATTGTAGCATTATCCCATATCCTTGTAGAATGTTACCAATTGTAGCAACAATGGCCACCATCACATCTCCCCTCATATATTTTCACCAATGAATGAGACCCCCAATGTCAAATAAACCTGAAAGGAAAAAGTACTCACATATCATAAAATTAATAAATCATTTCCACCTTGGAAACCATTGTCACACCCCAAAACTCATGTGTAACATCAAGGGAAAAAAAAGGAAATTATACAAACAACATAAAATAAAACTTTGAAACTTTGCTGCTAGTTCCGAAATAAACATTGAGACTGAACAAGGAATTTCCACTTCTCTATGTTCTCAAATTGCCAGCACATGTCACCAAGACAAAATCAGCCAAAGAAACAGAAAAGACACCTCCATGCAGCAAGCTTGCAAGCAATATCCATCAGTTTCTTATTGCTGGAAATTCATGTGACTCAGCAAGAAAAACCATCAAACCATATAGCACCTGGCTTAGCGTCTCTAGATTACTGCACATGCATATCATGATTAATACAATAGCAACTGCGAACCAAGGACGCAAGCTAATATAAATTAAGTAGCATATGCAAGGAGCTCTACCAAGATAGCAAAGAGCAAGTGGGAATTGCAAAGAAACAAACATAATGGAATATGAATCTCACCTTAGCACATCTCTGCAAAGCTCATGGCTTCATCAATTCTTGGAATGGCATTTGCCAGCTCAGAGAACAAATTAATTGCCCATTCCATATGTTCGCATGTCGTCATGCTCAACTGTGGCATCCACTTCCTATGGAGGATCATAACCAAATAATGAGACTGCACATAATCAAATTCACACACACACACACACACACACACACGCATGCATGCAAGCATATAGAAATTTTCATAATAAATACAAATATCAAACATGGATAAAGAAGAAAAGATTCAGCAAAGGCATCAGAGAAACTAACACAATTTCAGCTACTGTGTATTAAACTTTGAACTCAGAATTAAACACCCTAAGCTCAATAAAAATTTACCAATTTACATGCATCCAGAAGCCGATTAAATAAACTTTGAAACTATATAAAATTTGACAGAAACGGAGCTCTAACTTACAAGATAAGGCAGTCCAAAGTAAGTGTTTGAAAACTGAAACTGCAACCCCTGTTTTTGACAGATTTTGTAGTCATACTTATCAAACTCGGGTATCAAACTTCAGCCAAATTACATGCTATTAGAGGGCTTTTAATCCTGGATATGTATAGTTTAAAACTACGTACTTATATCTCAAAACTAACCCACTGTAAGATCCAACCCCTATTAGCACAAACCATCTCTATATTTCTCCAAAATATAACAAGAAAGAGAGCTAGTGAACCAAAAATCAGAATGGTCTGTTCTGTGAAATTCTTCCACAAATTATCCATTATTCGCTCAAGAAAGAATTTAACAGCCAGATGCATCCGCCAAGAACAAAAATCCTTTAATGCCATTTTGTAAATCATTTTCGCATGGTTATTGATGGACCCCCAACTCAAATGCAACTGGACCAAAGACATGGGAAATAAAGTAGTGACTGTTAATCCACTTTTTGGAATCAGGTTCGTAGGATACTGACCTACTGTGAGTTCCCAAAAGCTACAGTTGACAGTAGCTAAGATGAACAAAGTAGGATATCTGGGCACTTCATAAAACATGTGTGAATCGACATTAGGCCAAAGCTCAAGTTGAGGAAATCCGCCGCTTCTAGTGGTTTGTCACCATCAATGTCATTATGTCAGCCTTCGTCTCATCTGCAATATAAAAATAGTCAAAATGATTTGCCGCTATGTAAACCCATCCCCACGGAGCAACAATGCGAGGAAAATACATTTGCACATGAGGATGACGAGATTGAAAGGACGTATTACGCAGCCAGTAAAAATCATCACCGCTACCCACCACCAAAGCCGGCAAAACTGAGTCGCCATCACGAAGGTGAGTGAGCGCCGTCGAGAACGGTTCATCCACGACACTCGATTAACGGAACGCGTGCAGCAATGGATAGATTGGGGCGCGCCGCTGACAACGGAACCCAGAACGAATCTTCCTCTTCATCAGAACATTTTTAGAAAATGAAAACAAGAAAATGAGTTTGCATTTTTAGGATTTGAAAATGCGTTTGATAAATTATTTAAAAAACAAATTTAGAAAATAAAAACAACGAAAATGTGTCTAATAGTACAAATGAGAATAACATTATGTGAGTTATCTTTTAAGTGTATTTTTGTTAATTTCTGTTTTAAACAAATATTTTAATAAATGTATAATTTAACAAATAAAAAATTCGATTGTTTTTGAAAATCTAAAACTATTTTTATCTCCTTTTTCTTCTTTTCTTCTTCTTTCCTTTCCAGACCTTCTTCTTTCCTTCTTCCTCCTCTCCATTCTCTTTTCTTCTTTCTTCCCTCTTTTTAATTCTCACTCCTCCTTCCTTCCATGGTATAAATCCCATCAACTCATCTCTCTCTGGTTCCACTAATTAATGGTAATGGTGATTAGATTGGGTGGTGATGGTGGTTGAACTGGGTATGTGGTGGTTGGTTTCTCTCATCTCTCCCTCTGCAACTCTCTCTCACTCTTCTTCTCCTTCTTTCTAATTATTTCTCTTCTTCTTTTTCCTCATCTGTTTTTTTTTTCTTTTCTTCTTCCTCTCTGTCTTTTTTTTTTCTCAGTTGCAGATTTTTGTGATTATGAGTTTTTTTTTTCTTGAAATTTTGGGGCTGATTATGGTTGGAAGGAGGAGATTTGATTGTTTTGGATATAATTTGATTGGATTGTTTGCTCATTTCACGGAGAAGAGTTGGCTTTGATTCGAAGAGACTGAAAACAAAAACGACTTAGTGGTGTTTTCAACATTTGTTCATACTTTTGGATTCATTCTCAAAAAACTATTTCAGCTTGTTTCTTAAAATAACCCACCGAACATGTTTTCAAGTGAAACCAGAAAATAAAAATAGAAAATGACCCTTGAAAATGATGCCGAACTTCAGTGAACAATGTTTAGTGTGTTTTGGATCTCGTCGCTTTGTCTTGACAACCGATGTGCTTTTGAAATGTGTTGTTGTAAACCATCATGTTAGATATCCTACGACGTCGCTTGTATAACCACTGACCTTGTTTGTAGTCAATTTTAAAACAATGACATGCTGTTCACATTTCGACGTCTTTAAGGTGACGTGATTTTTGCAATATTGGCTTCATTGCAAAAGTACCATCATCATGAGTCATGACATATAAAAAATTCCTCCACTAAGGAGGGAACCCAAGGCACCGAAAGAATGTGCACCTCTCCCATTTTTCTCTTCCTTTTCGGCCACCAACTCTTAACCATGCCTGCATATTTCCCATACATGCATTCATGTGCTTTGAAAGAATAAATTCTGGGACTGTCTCGGATTAGCTCAGATTGGTCTAAGCTAGATTAAATATTGACTTACGTTTAGTGCTGCGTCGGACTAAGAAATTAGATTGTAAAAATAGTGAAAATATATGTTTGGTGTTGTGTTGGACTAAAAAATAATTCTTATAATATTTAAATTTAATTGGGTTTTGACCTAAATGATAAATAAACGCTAAAAAGAAACTCAATTCAAAGATTTATAACAATATCTGGCAACAAAAAAAAATTTAAAACAATAATAAAAAGAAAACAAATAAAATTCTGTTTTTTTTTTTTTATGAAGAATAAAATTATGATATTTGTTTTTTGGCTTCTCAAGATTAATCTTAGTCGATCGAAACATTGTTAAAGGAGCTAAGCTTTCTCTATATAATTATAGGTTTTTCAGGGACCAAGTAAAACAATAATTAAATTTTATATGTGTATATATATATATATATATAATTTTTATATATATGACTTTTAACTCCAAACTCCAATTTCAAAATAATTATTGTAATATTTAAATTTAATTAAGGATTTTTATCTTACAAAAATAAATGCTCCAAAAAAAAAAAAACCCCATTCAAAGATCTAAAACAATAATTAAAAGAAAATAAATAAATTTATGATATTTTTTAAAAGGCGTCGGACTCACGTGTTTTATTTAGCGAGCGTGCTATTTAGAGAACCACTTTTCAGGCTCACTGTATTAGAAAAGCTAGTGAGACGTTTTTTTTCACTATTGGACTATACAGTCTCATTTAAGTTAGTCTCGTCTCTTACCAAACAAGGGTTTCGAGTTCTATTTAATCCAATCCAGTCCAGTGAGGCGTACCAAACATCTCATGTTCAAACTCCCATGGTACCTTGGCAAGTATGTGTGAGAAAACCCCCTCCTAGAATCAATATTTATTTATTTTTTCCCAATGATAATCAAATTTTCTTAAAAGATTAAGAATTATTTACATATTTCTCATTCTCAATATTCTATTCTCTCTTCCTTCTCCCCATGATTCTCGCGTGTTAGTGGAACCAAGTTGGCGAATAAAATTCAGTCCCCTTTATTATTATTATTATTTTTAGGTGCAAAATTAAAGTCACAGTGTACAAAATGAAGAAGAGAGACAGCCAATGAGAGGTGAGTTTGGATAAGAAAGTTGAATCCTAAGCCAATTCTTGCACATGTGGGCAATGCAAACTATTGCTCTGTTAACTAGTATTGACTTGATGAGATCTGATCATTCTGAAAGCATCAAAATGGCGTCTCTCTGTCCCATCAGCAACTTTCTCAGTGATCCTTTCCCGGCAGCCGCTGAGGAAATAGCTTGCAACCAAGACCTCATCACGCTGATCCTCATCCGCCTGCCCGTTAAGTCTCTTCTCCGATTCAAATGTGTCTCCAAGAATTGGCTCTACCTCATCTCCAAGCCACAATTCAGTACCCGCCATCGCAGTCTTGCCTCTGCAGGCATCATCTTGTGTCAAAGTTCTGGTCTCATCGGTCACCTGTCTCACCATTGCAGAAATTCTGAGCAACCCTTTAAGTCTCTCAACTTCATCGGTGACTCAGCCGGTGTTAAAGTGTTGCAATCTATCAATGGCCTGGTCTTGTGCTGTAGCTATCACAAACAGGGGAAACGCCGCAGCTTTTATGTCTGCAACCCTTCAACAAGGCAATTCTTGATGCTTCCTCCACCTAACGCGGATGGCTGCGATTCGTGCACAACCATTTTCGGTGTTAATTTGGCTTTCAATCCCTCTAAGTCACCTCACTACCAAGTTGTCTGCGTTCAAAATTGTTCTTCGTCATCAACAGCATCCGGTAATTACCAGATTGAGATATATTCATCTGAGACTGGAACTTGGAGGCTATCTGTCTCTCCTTTTGTTGCCTCATCTGACATGGTGTTTGAAAATGGGGTGCTTTGGAATGGCACAATTCACTGGATTAGCCCAAAAGGGGCTACATTATGTTTCGATATCGACCGAGAGCGCCTCCGTTCAATGCCTAGTCCTCCATCACATGAGAGATGGGACAAAAGAAGGTTCAGATATTTTGGTGAGTCTGGTGGTCATTTGCACCTTGTTGAAATTTATGGTCCAAGCACTACTCAATTCCAAGTCTTTGAGATGGAGACGGATTACTCAAGATGGATTCCCAAGTATGATATCGACATTGCTGCAGTCGTAGATGAACTTCCGGGGATGGTTATGGAATACCCTGAGCTCCATGAATATGGTTCTCGTTTCTATGCATTTGTTTTGCTTTTTATCCAAGAAATTGAAGGGGGCCCGTTTCTGTTGCTACACATTCCTGGTAAGTTTATATCTTACAATATTAGAGATAGGACCTTCAAGGAGATTTGTGGTTTTGGTCCCAAATCCACCGAAACAAATACTTCTGCGTTGCAGATTGGATGCTTTCATGCTCATCAGTTTGTAGAGACTCTGGCTTGTGTTTGAATATTTCAGTATATTATTTTCTGTCCTCTTATTATTTGTACCGTTGAAATTAAACCTATCTTTTGTAATAATTGTGTGCCTTTCAAGATTGGGATTCAGAATGTAATGATTTTTCTATTGATCTTCTCATATTATCAGTTGTATATTATTTTCTGAATCTGTACTATTCCTGGAAATCTTTTCTTAATCTAAAAATACGAATTTCATTAAGAAGAAGTGTTGGTTGGTCTAAGGTCAATGTCAATACAACCAATTAACCAATCTGGCCTTTCTTTCAACAAATAGAACAAACCACACTTCCGCAATCGATGACTTGTGCCATCCTATTGCAGCAGCGAGGTTCTGACATTTTCTTGAACTAGAACTTTGCTTCATATCCTCTACAAACCGCTGCAAAAAATTTCTTCCTTTATATTCACCAATTTAGTTGCCTCCAACAAATCAACTTCAACATAAAACGGTAAAAGCCAGCATCAACCGAAGCATACTACCGTAGTATTCTATAATTTCCCCACATGTTTTTGGAGAGCTAAAAGTTCTGCGTCTACTATCTCTGCGTTCTCTCACATGGTTCTTGTAGTCAAAATAAATTCCCTAGTATTTTGGGGTGTAGTCTTCACACATCTCTCGTGGAAATATTTTTTTTTGTTATCTTTTACGTTTTCTTATGTGGAAAAAGTTGTCCATGACTATAAAGAAATGGTTGCTGCAACAACTACGACAAATTTTGGCTCAATAATGGATTTTTATATAATTTAAAGATAGCCAATTCTTCAAGGGACATGTGGCCATACAGATCAGATAGATGCCACAATCACAAATAAGAAACTTGAATCTCAATCCAATTCTGGCACATGTGGCCAATGCCAAATGCAAATAGTTTTCCATTGACTTTGCTGAGAATAAGTCTGCATTGTATACTTGTTGATTTATTTAGCCATATTCACATTAAAGCTATGTTCACTATTTCTTATGAGATCTAAAAGCAGCAAAAAAATGGTTTCTCTCTTTGACATTAGCAACTCCTCCGATGATCCATTGCCTGCAGGTGAGGCCTTAGTCAGCTTGCAACCATCATTTTGTGTCGGATTCCCTGGTCTCATCAATCACCTATCTCT